AGAGGGGGGAGGAGCGCGTGCGTGGAGGGGATGGGGCTTGTTTTTATAAATGGGCGGGGGCAGAGAGGCGCGGTGCGCAATCAGTAACTTTGTGGTCTTGGGGGTCTTGGGCTGCGGGCACCACCACCTCTGGCCTCGCTGGGCTTTGGGGGGTTCCAGCGTGCCCCCATCCATCCCCTCCCCCTCCATCCACCACGTCCTTCACCCCCCGGGAAAAAATAACTGTGAGCTAATGGCCCGCGTGGTTTTTAAGCGACCGCCCTCGATCCGCGCGACCAGTGACCATACCACGGGCAGCGCAGCACCATCCACACCACAAACGATGGAACATGGAGCCGGGCTGCAGGTTGAGATGTGGAAGAAAGAATTTCGACGGCTCTCCCCTCCCGTTGGGCCTAGCAGGGAGTCGTCGAGTCGGGTAGCTAGCGGTGCAGGAAGGGTAGGGCAGCAGGTGCAAGACAGGTTCGACTTCGACTGCCTTGCCGTGCTTGTTCTTGCTTTACATGGCGTGCAAGTGCAGGTGCTGCAGGTGCAGGTGCAGTAGGGTTCCTTCTCTTCTTGGTCGACCTACCTCCCTCACCAAGCTCACCTAAAGAGGGCAGGTAGGTACATCAACCGTCAACCGTCGAACCGTTCCTGCTCTCCGATGCTCCTTCTACTAATGCTCCGGTGACAGACAGCAAGGTAAGGCAGGCACGAACATAGACAGGAGAGTAAGGCAGGTGAGGTAGGACTCGAATGCAGGTGTGGCAGAGCCCCAGCTTCCGTGCTTTCCATCCTTTCCTTCCCCGGCCCTACCTTACCTTCCCACGCACCTGCACCAGCACCTGCATCGCACCCACCTCGTCCCTCCTCCCACCTCCTTCTCTCCTCCTCCTCTTCCTTCCCCAACCTCACCTCTCCTCTACTGCTCTTTCTCGTTTTGTGATGTGTCTCGACTTGAATCGGCGATTAGCGCCAGTTGGGCTGGAACGAAGAGGCGCATATCTGTGTGATTTGCTAGACGCGGTCGAGACGGACAAGACGGGAGGCTCAAGACACAGATCAGATCCAGCACCCTCTCCTCTCCCGTCGTCTCCTTCCCTCGTCTGCCTGATGTTGCCACTTCATCCAGTCCTCCAGGCTGTTTTGTGCTAGACCACCACTTCCAAGATAGATATTATCTGCAGATCTACATGGTCAACTTGTCCTCCGTCAACTCACAAGTGGCGACGAAGATCGCAGCAGCGGGTGGCACATGGCCACATGGCAGACGCTCCAAGGAAACAAAAGACCAAGCTCCGGACGCGTCGCATGAAGCTTCTGAAGCTTCTGTCGTCTCTGCTGTCACACCCTGGACACCTGGACACCGGACGGGGGGCCCCTCTTCTCCCCTCAGCAGCTTGACTCCCTGTAAATCCAATCCAACGCCTCCAGTCCAATCCGTGCAGGAAGGGAAAATAAACGAACACCTCACAGTGGATGCCCGCCCAGGTGAGGTGGCCTTCTGGTGCTTCTGGTGCTTTTCCACGGCTCCTCCCAAGGGACCCAGGCCAAGCCCATCTCCCATCTCCCATCTCACCTCACAGGGGGCCTCTGCCGCGGCAGCGTTCCCGCCAAACAAACGCAAACACCTCCATCCCCTCCTTGGCTTCGCGCATGCCGCCATGCCCTAGGAAAGGTGGTTACTGGTGAGGCATGCTCCCTGACCTGCTCGAAGCTCCCCTCCCCTCCACTCCACTAGAATCAGATCACACCCAAGATCAGTGTCAGTGTGTGCCTGCCCATCCTTCCTTCCCCCGTCGTTGGTTTTCAGGGACCGCCTCAGACTCCCAGACAGACTCCTGCCTACCCTGCTAAGCGGCACTGCACACTGCAGCAGGCGCTCCTTCCCTTTCCCCATCACGACTGCCACGCCGTTCGACGACCCAAAAAAAAGATACCTACCCCAAGTACCTTTCCCATTTTCCTTCCGTCGCATTAAAATAAAAATGCCCTCCTTCCCTCGTCGATTTTTCTGATTGGCCAGATTTTCGCAATCCATCCGCTGAAAGACTGTCCCCCCGGGCTCCCAAGTCCAGCACAGCACAGCGCAAAGGACGAACGAAAAAAAAAGCTGTCTGATCCGGCACCTTCGCATCTCCCACCCAACTCATTCTCATCGCCCACCTCAACCACCTCTCTTTTTCCCTTCCCTCTCCTCTCTTCTTTTCCCTCTTTTTGCGCTTTCCTCACCCTCCATCACGCTAAATGACTCATTTCTCGCTTCCATCGCGTTTTTGGCTCTCGCAAACCCCCGATCCACATCCCGCACGCCCGGCCCCAACTTTCCTCACAGCCCGACTCCTTTCCCTCGCCGACTTGCCACTTTTCGCACTTCGTCCATGATCTCCTCAACACAACCTCCCCCGTCGCATCCGGTCTCCCTCCTCGCCAGTCCGGTTTCATCCCAAGCCAGCACCACTGCTGTGTTGCCCGAATTTTTCTTCATCACCTGATGCCGTTTTGTCTCCATTCCCAACGCGTCCCGGCCCGGATATCCCGCACCCCGTCCCGTTCGGTCTTCCGTTCCGTGTGATTCGGTGCGCGAAGTTGGCGATTGAAGCTATCCGCACATCTTTGCACCACCACCGCGCAACCACCCACAGCACCCTTCTTTTCATCTAAAAAATGCACTGGCCCATCGTCTAGGTCGACGATCTGCTCGGGGATATTTTTTGTGAATTTGTGGCATTTTTGTTGCTTGAAATGACTTACACCGAGTTTCGCGAGCGCCGCCCGCCAAAGAGGGGCTGCGATCGCGTCACGCGACCGATGAAGAGTCGATGAATGACTGCACGCGCGCTCGTGACCACACAACCGCTCAGCCTCAAAGCTGATGGATGATATCACCTAAATATGTCGCCAGGCTACATCTGGCGATATCTGCGGTTTGCATGCTCCCGTTGTGCTTCATAGGAGAGTCAAAAGCCCGTGGGAGACATGAGAGGCAATGGAAGCTATTCGCGATCCATCACCCTTCTACACGAACAGCGACCTCTCCCCGCCGACAACACTCGAGGGCCAAAGAATCTTTGGCACTACGATTCGAAAACATTCTCGATTGACATCAATGTAATTTTGACAACTTCAAATCCTCATTGCGGCCGCCAAATGCCATCGCAAGCTTGACGCATGCATACCCAATGTGGAGGAGAACACGTGTGCCAGTCACCGTCTGTTCTCCGCCCTGACCGACACTTGCGTCCCTCATTCTCTGAACACCACACCGACCGAGACGGCATCTGAAATTCATGCAGCACAGGAACAACTCGACGGCATTCTGTTTTTCTGCATCATCAATTGCGGTTTACATGAGATTGCCCCTCGTCGCGGGACGTGATTGTCAAGCCCCGCGAAGTCGCGCGTCTAGCGAGACGAAAAAGGGGGACCGAACAGGCCTCACGGCACCCGCACCGCGCCTTGCTTTGCTTTGCTATGCTCGCAAGCCAGCGCACTCTCTAGCAAATGCTTTTGGACTCCGACATTGAAATCTTCCCAATTCAAACGATAACGACTTCGTTTCGCTATTTCAAAGAAAACGTTGAGGTAGCCGTGTAGAGCGCTGCGCACCAATCCGTCTCGCGCGAAAAGCCGGCCGGCCGCACGGGGAAACTCGGGCCCAGACGAGCCAAACTCTCCATCCCCCTCGCGAGCTCCGCGAAGTTGCTTCCAGCTCGGCCTCGAAACATGACCATTCTTGATATCAAGATTTCATCTTCGTTCACAAATTTTGTTCGTTGGAAGAAGTCATTCAGCTGAGGCCAAGCCAGAACCGCGATGGGCAGCGGTGAGGCCGAGGGGCAATCTTGTTTTGACCCGTCCAACGCGTAACAACCCCCTTCCATTCATCCCCTCCCATTTCACCGAGGCAGCCTATAGAAGAAACGAAATGATTCAAAGTGATCAAGACTTAAGAATCAACTGAGAATCTTCCCCAGTCCAGGACGTCAGAACCGCAGCGTGCCCAAGCATCGAACTCTCCGTCAAACGCGTGCGCACCGCTGTGTGCTCCCCGTCCCCCCAAAAAAGTCGCGCGCCGTGCGGTGCGGTTGCAAGTGACAAGTGCGGTCGCAGGTCCCCTCCCTCCCCTCCAGTTGGTTCCTCCCAGATCCGGAAAGTGGGTCTCTGGGAGCTATGACCAGCTCGCAGCGGTCGCAGCTCCGGGCCAGGCGCTCCCACGTCCATCGCCCCCGCCGCCGCAGGGCCCTGCGAAGTTCCACAAGACAAGCATCCCACGCCGGTGAAGTTTGGCTTACCGCGCTGACCGAGGGGCCGTTGGAGTGGGGACTGCGTACACCGCACACCGAGAATTCTTCAGCCGGTGAGGGGCGCGGACACTGTGCACGCTCGATACCTTAGAGAGCGAGAGGCGGCGATTAGAGACGGGACATCTCGCGATAAAGAATCGCATAGTACAAAGCACAAAAAAAGACTCGAGATTCAAATGCTCAATCCAGCATGAGATGATGGTCTAAAAAATGCATTATGCTTGAAGAAAAAAATCAAAAAGGATGGTTCTCCCCTTCCAGAATCGAACTAGAGACCTTTCGATGACAATGTAACCATTACAGTCGAACGTGATGAACCAACTACACCAAGGGGAGGAACAGGGCTAAAGCCCCGCTTGGTGAGATGCTCAGTGTTCCGCAAAGCCAGCCTAAGTTGCGTGCCCTGCTTGGGCCCCCGCACAGCAAACACCTCCCCCACGCGCCTTTCGACGCCCTGAAAGCCGAGACGAAAGGGCGCAACTACCGAGCCAACGGCCCTGCCATCGGAACCAGCGCCCACTCCATCGGGTCGCGCGCCCCAATTGCTGCCGACGGAAACCGAATTTCCTCATCCTTCCATCATCCACACCCTTCTTATCAAAATTCTTTCCTCCAAATTTTAGTCTGCAAAGAAGAGCTTTGCTTTTTCTTTGTTGTGATATCGCTTTTTGTCTGCTTGTGCGACTTGTTTTATAGATACCGTACCACGCGATGCGCCCCTCAATCTCAGCTCTCCGCGGCCCCGTCGCCCGCCGCTGCTTCGGCACCACGACTCGTCTCGCCGCGTCGGAGAACGGGACCGGCGCCGCGGTCAATCCGCGCTGGTTCTCGGAGCTACAGGCGCGCATTAAGCGTGTTGCCGGTCTTAAGCTTGACAGCGCCCAAAAGGAGGAGCTGAAGGGGCTGCGGGAGGCTGTTGACGGGCAGTGGCTTGAGCTGCTTGCTGGCCGCGAGGGATTCCTCACCGGGCCTGGGTGGAGGGGCTTGGATAAGCATACCGTTACCTGGGGAGATCAGGTGAGTTTCCCAAATAGTGCTTTACGGTGAAGCCATGACATTGACGATGAGCTGCAGGATGCAATGGTAAGATTGATCGCGGGATGTTGTTCGTGAGCACTGACTAACACGGCGCAGGGTACGCTCAAATCGCGCGGTGCATGAAGCAGAACAGCAGCCATCTAACTAAGTGAACTAGGTCATGTGAACAACGTCGTCTACAACAAATACGCCGAGTCCGCACGAGTAAACTGGCTGCGCAACTTCGCGACGACAGTGGACCCCGAGAACGCGGATGAATGGAACCAGCTCATGTCGCCCAAGGACATTGGCCTGATCATGAGGAGCATCAAGACGGATTACAAGTTTGTAAGTCCCCCCCAGCTCATCCTCAGTCGGATTTCACCCTCGCCGGCCGAGGCCCGTCAAGCAATGCGGCTCCGGACGCTCACGCTTCACAGCCAATGGCCTACCCGGACAACGTCACCGTCCTGCACAAGCTCGCCGCCAAGCCGACCTACGAGTCGGACTTCGTCCTCCTGGAGGCCCTGCTGGTCTCCGAACGCCACCGCCGGCCCGCGGCGCGCTGCTTCGAGGACATTGTCGTGTACGACTACAAGACCGCTAAGCGCACCGCTCTGAAGCCGTTCATGGTTGACAGGCTGCGCGAGACGTACGAGGCGCAGGAGAGGAGCAAGCAGGAGTGCGAGGAGAAGATCGAGGGGCTGGTGAAGGTTGTCGAGAGGCTTGAGAAATCTGCGTGAGGGGTTTCAGTTTGATGAAGAAAGAGAGTGTTGAGATGGACTGCAATGCATATAGACTTAGACATAGACCTCGCATAGAGGAAAAAGTAATAGACGCAAAGTTGGCGATGCAGATCGGCCGGTTAGTCTTGGGGGGGGGGGGGGGGGGGGGGGGTATGACGGCGTGAAAGCGTTAGCCGGGTTAATGTGGATCATTGGCCGGTTTGCCCGGGCGGCGCGCCTCCTCAATTGCGAACCCCACAGTCCTCGTGCAGCTGAACCAATTCACTCAGCAACTCATTATCAAAGGAAGCAGACACCAACGTCAAGATGGGCAGCATCTCGTTCCGCGAACACATTCGCTGGGTGCCCGACGAGGCCGGCGAGCCGACGTCCACGATCGTGCTGACTTCCCCGCAGCGCCGGTTCGTGGATCTCCGCATCCTGAAGGCGCCGACTGCGGAGGGGCAAGGTGAGTGTGACTACAACCTCGACCCAAACTCCGGCCCAGCGCAACACTTGCAGGGGTGACATTTTGAAGACGGCTAATGGAACGCAGAAACACACGGCGCTGAGCGCCTGGAATGGGGCATCGCCGGCACGTCCTCATCGTCCCTCATCCCCGACGGCAAAGGCGGCGAGGTGCGCCACTCGCGATGGGACCACTGGATCGACTCGCGCACGACGGAGCCCGAGACGGCGGGCGACGAGGGCGACATGTACCCGCAGGAGGGCGACCTCACGCTCGAGAAGGGGCGGATGGTCAACCCCGCCACGGGGCAGGAGTGCGACTACGAGGAGCTCTGGCGGGACGTCGACCCGGAGCCCGCGTCTGTCAAGACGGATGACGCGGCGAAGCCCGAGTGCGTCGTGCTGAAGTATGAGAGCGAGGCGAGCAAGGCGCGCGGGATGATTGTGTGGCTGGGCCGGTTTTGCCAGGGCATCTCGAGGGTCGGGGAGGATGTCAGCGCTGAGCGGTGGGAGTGGAAGGAGGAGGAGGGATGGAAGAAGACGATTTGGATCGGGGCTGAGGGTACCATGCCTTGTGAGGTTTTGCTGAAGACGGGTGCGCAGTTGAGTGTTGGCGCGCATGTGAAGCATGGGGAGATGGTCTGGGATGTGCTTGAGAGCAGCGGGTAGAATGTGCCTTGATACCTAGGGACATCATAAGGGCATTTTCGCAAATCGAAGGTTTCAAGATTCTGCGTGGTTTATAATGTTATTCAGATGCTTGTGAAGGCTTTTCATGTTTTGTTTTACCTTTTGATGATTGGTGAGGACTTTGAAGAAATTATTGCATGTTTAAATCACGGTCATAATTCAACAAAGTGAATCTGAGAATCCGCCACAAACATGATACCAAGCAGCACCCAGCGTGTCTCAGTAGTTTTCACGCACTTCTCACGTATTATTCGAGTGGGAAGTATGATTGATACTCTTCGGATTTCCTCTGTCTACGCAAATACTATCTCGGAAGCCAGTTCATCGTCCTCTCAGTGAGTCGTTACGCGTAGGGGTTTGACACCACCCGAAGGCTTGCACACACGATTGACACCTTCCATGTCTCAAGCCGGGTCGCGAATGACACTATGCCAGTATCCATCGACACAGTCTTGTTGTTCCTGCCGGTCATGTGGTTGCTGTTATTTCTGTCGTCAGTCGCCGGTGTCCTCTGTCGTCGTCGTCCCTCGTCGTCGCTGTACCACGTCTTCGCCCCCCGTGTCTTCCTACTTCAGCGTCTTCCTCCATTGTCTTCTCCCCATCATCTTGGTCGTTTCGGTCACAGCCTTTCCATTAGCTAGAGTTATTCCCAATCATTAATGCCCAGCCATCAGGTACTCGTATGCTGAGCACATCTGGAAGAAGCCGGTATTAGCATAATGTCTCTTCGACAACGTGGGAATATCATTCATCGTACCTCCGCGCAAACACCCGCCGATGAAGTTCCTGCCTAGCCCCAAAAGACACCAGGAGCAACCTCCACAGGCAGCGGCAAGTCAGGCGGTACAAGCGGTCCAAATAGCTCGTCGAAGGTGACCACGGCCATGCAGCGTGCCCGAAGGTCGCTCACGAAATCGCAGCGCCAACGGTTGAGCATGTTCGTAGAGTCCTTGCAGAATCTGTGCAGCTTCCAGTCCGCGAGGCTGCTTAGCTCGCCAACAGCGAACCTGAAAGCATCCGAAAAGCTTAGATCTTCGAGCAGTACGTCTGGGAGCGGAGCATTGATCCATTGGTTCTCAGCAGCGTCCAGGTCGATGTCGCGCTGGTAAGGATTGATGTCGCGAATGGCCCAGAAGCGGCGCGCGCGGAGACGCTCGTCGGACCAGAACACCCATCCGCAGCGTCGAAAGCCAAGAAGGGTTTTGACAGAACCGCCATGACCAAGGACCTTCCAGGCGGTGTTGGGGGAGTCTCTCTCGCATTCGCAGCTAACGCGGCCGGGGATGGTGATGACTGGGTCCTCGGGACAGACTTTTCCGTAATGGTTTGCCCAGGTCCAGTTGGAATCAGCGCCGACGTGCTCGGCCTCAGCCGGGGTGCAGATATCCTTGAGGACCATGTCGGCGTACTTGATCATCCACTGTCTGTACTCTTGGATGGGCGAGGTGAGGAACGAACGCAAGAAGCCCAAGCCGAAGGTGGCGATCTGCTTGATCAACGTGGACTGCGTCATGGTGTCTAAGAATTGGATCTTGTCGATGCGGGCGACGGTTTCGTCGTGGACGTGTGTGGCATACCATGTGCGTTCACCAGAATCTGAGCGCGTTATGTTGTACCTGTCGGGAATCTTCCAGACTCCATTGACGGGCTTGAAGGCGCGGCAGACCTGTCTGAAATCCTCCTGAACGTCGCGGCCGTCATTGGCGCTCATGAACGCTCGGAAAAGGTAGACGTGGAGGTCATTGACGTATTGGGAGACGCAAAGTACCTCTTCCATCTCATGCTGGTCAAAGTAGGCGTCGAGCAGCTCGTGCTGAGCCTTGAGATACCAGAGCTTCAGACCAGGCCTAGCTCTGAAGACATGGGACAGGAGCTCGAATCGGCAGAATGCGCGGAGAATTCGACGGCTCTCGTCGGGGTGGTAGGAGGTAATCGCGGGTGCCTCCAGCACCAGCGGCTGGTAAGCTCCTTTGAGGCTCGACTCGGCCCACTGTGGGAGGCGCATCTGGAAGTCTTTGGCGTCGAGATCGGAAGTTTTGAGGGCAAAGTCTTCGGCAAAGAGAACGATGGTCTTGTCGATGAAGTGGCAGACGCCCAATTGCTGGGTGGGACTGCGGGTGCAAGTCATGAAAAGCTCAAGACTCTGCCAGTTCGTGAGATGCTCCTTCATCGCTTTTTTCTTCTCCTCGTCAGTGGCCAGAGAGTTCAGCTTGGCGAAGGAAGGGAACGAGAAGGCGGCGAGGGCGTCGTTGTAGATTGAGCTGAGGAGATGGGTGCCGAGCTTGTTCTCCAGCTTCTGGTGCTGGCGTCTGGCGATGTCCTTCACAGCGCTCATGAATTTGTGGCAGACGGGAACGATACCGGAAATATCTTCGATGTCGGATAATCCGTAAGTGTGCTCGTCGATGATCTCGCTGACGATCGCGTTGACGATCTCCTGAGGGAGATCATTGATAGTGGTGGGCGCCATCTTGAGGCACAGGCAGCAGAGTAAACGAATGGGCAAGACTGGATTACTGAAGTAATTGACCGAGGATAAGAAAGGAGAGTCGGCGCGTCAATAATTGGGTTGCCGAGCTGCGTGTGACGAGCATCGACTCTGGGAGGACGAGTGTTGAAGTGGAAGTCGAACGTCGGAAATTCCAGCAGCCAGAAATATGAGACTCGAGGGCTAGACACATCTGGAGGCTGCAAGCAAGACTAGGGTCCATAGTAAGGTGAATTGCAAAAAGTTCAATAATATTTTGTCAATTATGGTCTCGACTGGCCGCCCCGTTCACCTCAAGGCGCCAAGTCCTCTCCCCCGCGCCCACCCCAGGACCTCGGAGCCACCGCCCTGCTGTGGCCCAGTCCATCCACCATATCAAACAGCCATGAGTCTGAAAGAATCCATGGAATCTCTACTATTTAATTGATGCCCGCGCTCATTCTCGATGCTTCCAGTCTTCATCCGCCTCTACAAAGCAAACAGAGCCCGGAGCCACCAACTTATGACCTCAAAAGAAGCAGTCTGCAAGCACCCAAATCTCTTCAAAGCCCTAAGATGCCTTTTTCAGCCCTCAAAGAGTTTTCTACGCTTTTTTGGAGTTTCCTGCGCTGAAGCTGAGTTGCCAGCGCTGAGTGCGAGTTGCGCACTCTCTTCCAAAGACACCCACCTCAACCTTCCGTGGCCTTCCGCAGCTCAGAGATCAGCAAGTCACAGAGCTCTGCTCAACCCAACGACATCATAACCACCTCAAAGCCACCCTGCTCTCGCCCTTTTGGTCATGGAACACCACCTGGACCCGCTACCTGATCTCTCGATACCTTCACTTTTATGGTCAACCTGACAACCAACCCCCAATCGGCCAATCACAAAAATCAGAGCTGCAGTGTTTTCCTCGAGGCACCCTTAGTTCTCTCTTGCACTCGCCCTCTTGAAGCAGTCAAACGAGCGGAGACTGTGCCCTTTGAGAGAGGGCTGGCACAGGCTCGCCTCAATCACTCCCCCATCAAGTACAAATATCCCCCTCCTCTACCCTCCTCTCGAAAAACTTCTTCCTCTTTTCTTTTTTCAACCCACGCAAGTACATTCTCTCTCTACTCGCTTCTCCAAAGCCTTGCAACCTTCACTTCAACCCTTCACAAACACCCAAAACCTACCCACTCTCGACAGGTCAGTCAACTGCTTCTCCCTCTCTTCTCTCTCGTCCTTCTGACCATCACCAGCCGGCACAATGAAGTTCTCTATGAACACCAAGCTTTCTGTTGCCATCATTGGCCACTTTGCCACGCGTGGCGCTGCTCAGCAGCGTGTCAAGCTCACCGACAACACCGAGCTCCGTAAGTTTCCTTTCCCATCTCATCGCAACGCCTTGGCT